GATATGCACTTGCAACTCATTTAGAAGTCAGTGGCCAGCACCTTGGCCACCTCAGCCCACAGGCTAAATCGTACACTCTTTCTTGGGCCTTCATTTTAGCCAAAGGCAAGACTGCAAACATCTATACTGCCAGCAGATACGCCTTTGGAGTAACTAGTGACTTTGGAATGCTGTGGAAACAGTGAGGCTTCCTTAGCTCTGATGGGAATAAATTAGAAATGGCCTTTAGGTCCGTAACTTACTGCATGCCCTACGCCCACATCCCAGACTTGACTCCCTGGAGGCTAAAGGAAACCACCTCGCCGACATTTCTGCCAAGAACGCTGCTCTCAAAGGAACCAATAACCCAACCTGTGGCGTGGTCCAAAGGGATGTTTCCCCAAACTTACAATCTAAAAAGTTGGCTAGAGATGTCTAACAACTGGCCCAAGAAAAGGAAACACAAAACTGGAAATCTAGTAACTGCTGATTTGATAAAAAGAGGGAGCTCAGGTTTGGGCCAAATAACCCAGTCGTGCCAGATAATCTAAAATCCCCATTGCTGATTACTGTACATGCATTGAATCATTGGTCTGCTGATAAAATGATAACCTTTATGAATCAGTACCAGGAGGGAAATATTAATAAGGCCACAAAAAGTGTCTACTTTTCTTCCCTCGCTTGCCCAAAATACAGTCCTGGGAAACCTGTCCACACTGCCCCCAGACACTTTCAATTACCCAATGGTTCAAGATTTGAGAAATGGATTACATGCAGCTACCCCCATCTCATGGATAGAAATATGTTTTAGACATGGTTTGTATGTTTTCTCACTGGATTGAGGCTTTCCCTTGTAGGCAGGCTACGGCCTCTCCTGGGGCTAAATTCTGTGAGAAAAGATTATTTTACCTGGGGAACCCACCTTGAACTTCACAGTGACCAGAGAATTCATTTCACCCGCTAGGTGATTCGATAGGTCTGTGCTATTTGGTGGGTTTAACACTTTCACTGTGTTTAACACCCTCCGTCCTGAGGGGTAGTTGAATGCACTAATGGCATTAAGACTATTGGCAAAATTTGTAGAGACCCTTCAAATATCCTGACCAGTAGCACTGCCATTAGGCCTTTTAAGTCTCAGGTCTGCCCCTTTCGGAACTCATAAACTCTCACCCTTTGAGATAGTCACAGGTCACCCACTGCACCTAGCTCCTGCCTTTTTTGATCCACACCTGAAAAAAAAAGGAGACATACTTCAGTATTGTAAAGGCCTTGTTGCTTCTGTTGAGAGTCACCATGCTTCAGTAGAACAATCTTTTCACAACACGCTTCCAGGAGCTGAAGACCTCAAGCATCACTCCTTATATCCCAGAGATTCCGTCTACTGGAAAAGACATCCCCAAAAGACTCTTTTCAACCTTGTTGGAAAGGCCCCTATCGGCTACTGTTAACTAACCCTCACACCACCAACTCCAGGGGTAGACTCTTGGCTTCACAAGTCACATCTAAAGAAAGCGCCAAACCCTAACTGGACCTGCACGCTAACTGGTGACGTGGAGGTAAAGATTTCCAGGAACTGAAGCGGACGACAGCTGAAGGAGACAGCTTCCCAACGATGACCAGACCAGGCCTGCATACTGTCTTTCCCCTGCTCATTCTCCCGTTTCCTTTGCCCGCTGTTTCTTGGGAAGACGATGCCCTTATCTGCGTTTCTCAATCACTTAAAAAAGGGGGAAACGTTTCTGACATGATTCTGTCACCATAAGTTCCAATCTCTTCACGATGTTGGAGACCTCTTGGTCTTACCTGTAACCAGTGTCTCTCTAGTCCCAAATGCCACTGTCATTACACTCTCAAGCCTGTGGATGTTACCTCTCAGGTTAGGCTATGATGGCCAGCTGTTCTATACCTTGTTTCAGCCTTGCCCCGGTGTCACCAATCTAGCACAGTTAAATCCTCCATCTTGGCTAGTTGTATAGTTTCACTCCCCCACATTATTTTCCTTATCTAAGTATCATCCTAAGAAATCACCCAGTGGCATTTGTATGACCCAAGGGTTTTCAAACTGGTTTACACCTCTTTGCAAGGTTTTTATAAAAGACCCCATTAGGAAGCGATGGCCTCTCAAAGAATGACATGTTAATTTTTCCAACCCATAGCTTGAAAGGGTCAATCAGGAATTTCTAGCTAATGAATTCATTAGTAACCAGACCTTAGCTGGAGTCCTCTGTACTCTACCCGGTTTCATTTTTGTTTGTGGTGGACAGCATTTTCCATAGACCTATGAATGCTTTAAATACCTGGCAACTTGGAGGTCATTGTTTATTGGGACATTTAATTGTCCCTGTTAACATCCATAAAACATCAGAGGCCTCCCATTGGTCCACTCCATTAGGTCTCTAGCAAACTTCCGGCGGCGTACGTGACTCCTGGTTTGTTTCCATAGGGAGGGCTTTTCTCCCTTGGGTTGAAGTAAGTGCCAATAAATGCATGATCAGAAATCTCTTCCTTTTACTAACCATTGTCACCCCAATAAATTTTAGTTAAAAAAGAAAAGAAATCTCTTCCTAACGTGGGAGAGCAAGCCGATTCGACAAAGCGATAGCAGCCCAAGAGCGATCAGTTGACTCATTGGCTAAAGTAGTTTTAGACCATTGCATGGCCCTTGATTTATCTTCTTGCTGAACAAGGAGGTGTTTGTGTGATAGCAGATACCACCTGTTGCACATGGATAAATACCTCTAGAGAGATAGAAATTCAGTTACACAAGATCAGGGGCCAAGCACACTGGTTATAGCAAATTTCTCTTGACATTCCACGGTCTTTTGACCTATTTAGCTGGCTACCTTCAGGTTTGGGCTCCTGGTTTTGGACCATCGTACAAACAGGACTTGTCATAATACTTTTAACTCTGGTTAGCATAGTTATTTTCAAGCTCTGTACCTGTGGCCTGTGAAGCCTTTGTAGAAACAATATACCAAATAGGATGATACTAGCTCAGTGCTTGAAGATGGTCTCCAATGCTTGTGACCTTGATAAGTTGGGAAATGCCTGAGAGTTTCCCACCTACCCTTGCTTGTTAATCAAATGGGGCCTCATTCGCTGTGAACTTTCTTCCAGATGTGGGATATGACAACCTGGAAAGCTGTTTCCTGTCATCGAAGGACAAAAACCACCAAATGCGGAAAAACCTTGACTCTTGCTTGATCAGTGATACTTTAGAGGAACAATCTTGATCAAAAGGGGGAAATGTGAACATAAAGGAAACCTCCTTTAAAACGGAGTCTGGAAGTCCTGATGGGGGAGCTCTCTCGCTGGAACCACTCATTACAGCCTACACAACCAGCAGGAAGAAGGAAGAGATTAATTATTTCGACAAAGGAGGACATTTTTCATATAGGAATTTCTGTCTCCTGCTTTTAAAAGAGGGAGGAAGATCGCTCCCTGCCCCAGCAACAGTGCGGTCACCACCAGTTGCAGCCAATGAGAACCCACCACAGCCTCCAACTCTTGTTCTCCTCCAATGAACTTCTGTTCAAAGCAACCCTCCACAGTTTCTTCCTAAAACCTAATAAGAGCCGTCCTTCCTTTTGTCTCTTCGGACTTGCCTCTGGGTCACCATAGTTTGCTTATCCCAAATGGCAATTCTCTGCTCTTCCCGAATAAACTCATTTTGCCGCTTGTAAAATAACTGGCTAGTTTGTTTCTGAGGTCGACACCAGCAAGGCTCCAGCTGTGTGTTCTTGCCGCAGACGGAGAGTGTTTGTGGGGTGGGGCCCATGCCCACTCCCTGTGTGCTGTGCAGCGCCGCCTAACCATCGTGGGCCTGGGCTGATAATTCGGGACACATAGGGCTGGGCGAGCGTGTGTGCCCTGGGGTGCATGTGGGGGATGGGGCGTTGGGGGCCATTTCGGCACATTGACCTCACCTCAGAGACGTTTGGGGAGAGCTCTTCAGGGCTGTTGGGAAGGGGATGGTTATTGCATCATTTCCGGGAAGAAGTCCTGCTGGGTGGGAGATCTTCCTCATGAACACCTTCCGGTGGGTGGGGAGGAATCGTGTTTCTTTTCTGGACCTAGGTTTCCTCTTTGGCAGAGCTGGGAAGCAGAGCTGGTTGGGCTTGAGGTCTCTGAGATCGTATGCACCATTGGCCACGCTGGGTGTGGGGTCAGCAGGATGAGCACTGAGCTGGAGTCGGGGTGTCTGATTCTGGCCCTGCCTCACGAACTGCCTGGGCCTCTGTGTCCTCATCAGTGAAGTGGGGGGGACTGCAGTCTACCAATGTGTTCAGTAGGGGCTACAAATGTTCTGGGTCAAATAAATGTAGAAGTGCTGGAGTTAAAATTTATTAGATGTCTTTGCTGCAGGGCTTCTCAGAGCCTTGAATTTACTGCTTACGTCCGCTGTAACTTGCTGAGAGTACGTGGTGTCTCTCGGGACCTCCCCAGCATCGGCGTCATATACATCACACTTTGGGAACCACCATATGTCTGTGCTGCCAGGTAGCTCACTGCTGATTCTCGGCACAGCTGACAGTGGGTCATGAGACAAAGGAGAGGGGGCCTAGACCCGCCCCCTTTGCGCTTGGCTCTGTCCCATGGCCTCCCTCTCGGCCCACACCATTGCCTGCCCCATCAGCTCCGGCGACCTGTTCTTGTTCCCCAGAGATGGGCCACAGCGGGCCCCTCTGGTCCTGGACTGGCACCGACAAGGCGGGCTCCGTGATGCTGCCAGCTTCCCTGTGGTTGAGGCTCTCTGCTGCTGTGGGGTGGGGGGTGGTCCATTTGTGTCATGGTCACCCCTCCCTCCCTCACTGGGAAGGTGGCAGGGAAACCACTGCAGCCCTCTTGTCTTCTCCCCGTCCTGTGCCCCTCTGCCCAGAGAGTCTGCCAGGCCTCTGTCATGGCCGCGGGGATTGTAGGATTTACCATCTATTCTGAGGTCCCGTGACTCCGAGGCTGCAGGCCTCAGGAACCTATGTGCCAATAGCTAAATGGCTGTTCTCTTGTCTGTGACATTTCAGGGACTCCACGTCAAACTCACTAACCCCCGAGGACACTGAGGACATGCCCCTGGGGCAGGATGCTGAAATCTGCTTGCTGAAGTCCGGAGAGCTGATGTAAGCACCAGGTCCCTGAGCGGGGCTTACCAGGGTGTTGCATTTGGGGCAGAGGAGAGCCAGGCCTGTCCAGTGCCAGAGCCGGAAAGCACCCCGGAGGTGGCTCTGACATGGCCCCGGTGGGGGATTTTTTTTTTTTTACATATAATTTATATACAGTAAAATTCCCCCTTTTTAGTGTACAATGCTTGGACTTTGACAAATAATACAGTGTAATCACCAGTCGTCCTGCCGGGCCTCACACCCAGCTGGCCATCAGCGTATATGACCTCAAGGACCTCAAAGCCCAACCAGCTCTGTTCCCCAATTCTGCCACAGAGAAAACTTAAGTCCAGAAAAGAAAAATGATTTGCTCCCATGTGACCATTCATGCTGAAAATACACACCGGCTCTATCACCCCCAAAAGTTCCTTGTACCCCTTTATAGTCATCCCGCTCTCACCCCTATCTGTGCCCTACATTCTTTTTTGAAAATAACTTTGTTTTCTTATTGTAAAAACAATACATTTTCAATGTAGGAAATGAGGAAAGTAGAGACAAGCAAATCACATTGGTATATAGCCTTCCAGTCTTTTAATACATATATACCTAATTTTTTCTTTTTTAAGATTTTTATTGGGGAATTGGGGGAGGGAACAGCATTGGGGAATCGCGGAAGGGGAACAGACAAGTTTCTGTCCTTTCGTTCTTCAGTCTAGTTGTAGAGGATGGCGCTTCACTGACCCATGTTGGTATTGTGATCCTTGCGCTCTTCCCGGGTGGGGCAGATTGGTCGCCGGCCACTGGATGGCCGCTCACGGCAGCTCACTCCAGCTGCCAGCCAGCCCCACGGCAGCCCAGCTCCAGCTGTTGTTCACCATCTTAGCTTAGAAGGCGCAGTGTCACTGGCCCATGTAGGATCCGAACCGGCGGCCCTGCTGCTCAGAGCTCGCACTCCCAAGCCAACTCTTAACCAACAAGCCACTCTGCCAGCCCATATACCTAATTTTTTAACATAAACATCTTATTTTGCATCCTTTTTAAACTTAATACTGTACATTTTTCCCATAGCATCCTTTTTCTCCAGTGTTCTGTCCAGTAGCTGCATAACAGTCATTGAATAGATTCAGTCACTCATCACAGATGTTTATTCAGCACAGGTACTGTTCTAAGTACTTCGAGTATATCAGTGAACAAAATAGAAAAAGATTCCTGCCCTCATGTTCAGCTTGTCAGCAGGGGCTGACAAACAATAAATATGAGTAAATATAAGTAAATTACGTAGTCTGTTACAAGGTGGTGCTTGCTATGGAAAAGAAAAAGTAAGGATAAGAAGGGAAGGGAATTTGCTGTTTTAAAGAGTGACACTAAGATGGTAAGGCTTGAAGGAGTTGCCATGTAGATATATGAGGGAACAGCGTTTAGGCAGAGGAAACAGTCAGTGCAAAGGCCCTGGGGCAGGATGGTGCCCGGCACATTCAAGAAACCAGGAAAGGGCCAAGGTGGCTGAAACAGAGAGCAAGGGAGACCTAGTCAGAGAGGGAATGGGGTCTACATCACATCAGACCTGGGGCCATCTTGAGGACTTTGGTTTTTAAGCTAAGGGAAATCGGAACCCCAAAATGAGGTTTGGAACAGAACAATGACTTAATCTAGTTTACATCTGAAAAAGGATTGTTCTGGTTGCCATGTGGAGAATGACTAGAGGGACAAGGGCAGAAGTAGGGGGGCCAGTAGGATTTACATTTACGACGTGAGTCTTGTAGACAGTAGGCTTCTTTCATTTAAGATTATATTTGAGCAGAGATGGCAAACGCTTGATTTGTTTTTATTAGCATTTCCTTTGAGGAAACAGTATTGTTCTCTCACTGGCCAGATGGTGTCGGGAAAGGGTAAAAAGACTAAAGGCACAACCCAGATAATGGTGATGCAAGGGGAGGATTCGGGAACGTGCAGTTACAAAATGACCCGGCATTGGCGGGCATCCTGCCACTGAGTGGCTGCAGACATGGTGGTACCATAACATTGCATGTTACAACAAACACCCATTTTCCTCAGTGAACCCCTCTACCTACTCTCAGAGTCTTGAAAACTAAATATTGGACAAGACCTTTGTTCCCATATTAGAAATAAAGCTTAACACATAGAAAAGTGTTGCATGGAATTAAATTTTCACAAAGGTGAATGACTTAGAGCTGTTTTTTAGAGCATTTGGATCTCTTCACCATTGATTAGTCTCGTTAGCATAGCTTTGGGGAGTATTTCCATCCGTCCCCACAGCCTTGGAGGCAGAAAGAATGGACAGCACCACTTACTTGCTGTGCCGTCTTGGACAACTTACGTAACCTCTCTGAGCTTTGGTTTCCACCCCTGTGTTAAAGCGGACAGTAATACATTTTCTCCAGGAAAAGCAGGTTGGTGTAGTAGAAAGGTGATGAATGGCTTTGGATCAGACCTGTGTAGACCTGGATCAAGTTTCTTAGTCTTTTACACATGAGCTGCTTTCTGCACAAAATGGGGGCTTGATGCTTCCTCACGTAGCCCTTGGGATGCCACGTGATGCTGGCGAGCAGAGGGTCCTGGCACGTAGTGGCCCCCACCTTGCCTTTCCACAGTTGAGATGAGACTGGCCCAAGGTCACAGCACAGCCAAGTTATAGCCCCAGAGCTAACATGCTGCCTGTGGAGCTGCACATACAGGAGGGGGCACCACTCAGGCGAGACCGGCAGCGTCAGGGAGACGTCCCCATTCAGGTTCAGTTCATCCTCTCATGTAACACTCACACCAGTAAGGAGGCAGGCATGGTCAGCCCCGTTTGCAGGTGAGATTGAGGCTTAAGAGAGGGTAAGCCCTGCGGCAGGTATGAAGTGAGGCAGGTACCAGAGCCCAAGTCCCTTTGGCTCCACACCTCACTCTTCACATCACACTGTGGTCCAGCAGAGGGCCCCGCAAGCAGAGGAACTCACTAAACCCTTAAACTGTTGGAAGAAGATCTTACACACTTAGCAAGAGTTAGAACCAGGGACACAGCCCCAAGAAGCCTTTCTCCCCGAGGCCATCATACCAGCCCTACCTTAAAAAGACCCTGGGGTGTTGCATTTAGGAAAAGTCAGGGCACCCCCTTGGAATCTTGCAACAGGCCCCAGATCTTCACTGAGAGCCCACCAAAAGGGCAGGAGGTTTCTAATGATGGATGTGCTTGCTGATGGTGTTAATTAGATAAAAGGCGTGGGGCATGGAACTGGAGAGAGAAAGGGGCAGCTGAGCCGCAGGGCACGGAGAGCTACAGAAAGCTGCGGCCTCTGCACTCGCTCCGTCTCTGAGGGACAGGGAGCGGCTCAGGACGTCCTCCCGGTTCCCACGGGCTTGCCGCTACCACAGCAGCTCCGTGCAGGCAGGGACTGTCATCTGTTCTTTCACCCCTGTCCCCAGCGCCTAGAACCATGCCAGGCGTGTAGTAAGGTGCTCAGGAAGCGTCTGTTGATGGGAGCTGCACATCAGGTGTTCTCGCATAACGAAGCGTGTTGGACGAGGTTACCCAGAGCTTATCCTCCCAAGAGCCTCCAGGTCTCTGGCCACCTCTAAGCCCCAGACCAGCTGACCAGCAAACTCCGACACTTAGCCCACTTTGATCAGGTCCATCTGTGCCTTTGTCTTTCAGGATAAAATTACCCCTCACGGTGGAAGAGATTACCAACTTCGGGGAGGGCAACAGGGAGCTGTTTGTGAGGTCCGGTACCTATAGCCTCATCCCCATCACCGTGGACGAGGCAGGCCTCACCATCAGCTGGGTCTTCTCCTCTGACCCCAAGAGTATCTCCTTCAGCGTGGTCTTCCGGGAGGCAGAGGACACACCGCTGGAGCAGTGTAAGGTAAGGCCGGCTCCTGCCAGCGGGCCCTGCTCACACGTCAGAGGCATGGGCAGGCCTTCCCTGGAATGTTCTGGGCCCCAGTTCTGAGAGGGACATGAAGAGAAGCCAGGGTGGGAGAACCTCTGGACTGTGTTGCACAGAGCAGGCCGAGCACCTGGCCTTGTCCAGCTTGGGGAAGGAAAGATCGGAAGCTCAGGAGAGCCGTCTGCAAATGTCCGAGGGTCACTCCTTTGTCAGCTTTAGTTTGACCTTGGGATAGATCGGTAGGTGAAACTTACAGGAATAGAGAAGTACAGTAATACCTCGGTTTGCAAGCATAATTCATTCCAGAAACAAACTACTCATATTGCAAGACATCGCTCATTTACCAAGTTAAAATGTATTATTAGGTTGGTGCAAAAAACTTTTGCACCAACCTAATAGATATGTTTGCTCGTCTTGCGGAACGCTCGCAAACCACGTTACTCGCAATCCAAGGTTTTTACTGTATAACTAACTTAGTTTAAGGATCATTATTTTTTATTATTAGTTTCAGGCGTAAGGGTCATTTTTTAACAGAGCCGTGCAGAGCGAGAATGGGTCACTGGGAGGTGGCAACCAAGGTCTCTGCTCTGGCTGTTAGCTTCGGATGTTCAGCCTCTTAACTCAGAAACATCAAAAGAGACACGTAGCCATTGTGTCACTTGGGTGATTGGGCTTGAAATGTTGGTGGCAGATACCAGTTCATAAACTCCTAAGACACTGTACGCTTGGAATGTTGACAGTGGCCTGGACCATAGTTCTCAGCCTGGGCCGCTCATTAGAAACACCTGGGGAGCTTGTTTAAACCCACTCCCGAGGCCACATCCCAGACACTAAATCAAAATGTCTAGGATGGGACCCAGGCATCCCTAGGTGGTGCCAGTGAGCAGCTGAGGCTGAGAACCACGGGGCTAGATCCAGGGGAGGAGGTCAGAGGGGAGGATGGGTGGACTCCGCGCCAGGAAGGTGAGCAGGACCCGGTGGCTGATGAGTGCGGGGCGAGGAGAGGGAGGGGTGGGTCCCGTTCCTGCATGTGCAGGGGTAGTGGAGGGAGAGCTGCCAGACATGCTGGACGGGGCTTAGGGTGGGTCCTAGGCCGTTAATACAGTTGCCAAAATCTCAGTTTTTCAAGAATCGAGACAGAAAAGCAATTTGAAGTCTTTGCGATAATACCCGTTCATCCTTCGTGCGTGTGGCCCGCCGGGTGCCAGAGCTGCAGGAGAGCCCGGCCGGGCAGGGCGGACACACAGTCCACTGCTCCTGTTGCCATGTCCACGTGGAGGCCCGTCTGTCCACTGCCGTTTGCTCTCCTCTCATCCCTGCCCTGTGGGGATTGTGTGTCATTTCTGTCCTCTTCAGCTTCACTCTTTAAATACCAGTCTAGCCCCCCGAGTTGGCTTTGTGTATCGGAGTCTCGTGTTCGTTCTCATTTGAACGCAGCTCTGCCCTTTCCTCTCAGGAGCTGACAGCCGCGCCCCCTGCGTAGCTTTGGAGCCCTCCCTCCCTGAGAGGTCGCCACCCTGCAGCCCGGGGGTCCTGGCATGCAGCCTGAGAGTGGCCTCGGGCTCGCCTGACGACTGCGCGGGGAGGGTGGCGTATCACTCGGGGGCAGGTCTTCGTCCCCGCTGCGGGTGAGGAAGCTGAGATGCAGAGTGACTTGCCTATGCACTTGTCAGCTCTGTGCTGAGAAACCGCTGCCCGGCTAAGGACAGCTCCTTTGCTGTTCGCCCTCCTGTTCCCAAGGCCACCAGGCGCCTAGCACTGTGTCCATCTAGATTAGACACTGGAAGGTTTGGCAGGAGAGAGGCAGGTGACTGTCAAGTGTCCAGGCCTTTGCCATTCCGCCTGCCCACACGTAGCTGAGCCGTGGGCCTCTCCCTGGCTCGGTCACTCACCCACCAAATCCTCATGGCCCTGGGAGACCCGTGTAGTTCCTGCCAGGAACCAGGAGCTCAGGGACCTGCAGCAGCCGCCCTGGTCTCTGGCTCCTGGGCGTTACGACTCCCGTTGTCTTTCCCGCAGTGGACACCAGAGGGCAGGAGGAGCCCATCTGTAGGGTGAGCGAGCTGGGTGCTTAGGTGTTCCTCTGCCTTCACAGGCCCACTGTCAGCAGCCAACTGTGGGTGGGGGTGGTTGTTGCTGACTGAGGTCCCCCAAGCAGGGCACCTGTTCCCAGGCAGGCAAACATCCCAGCGTCTGTCCTGGGGACTCCCCACGTGACCCCTGACCAGCCTGGGTCTCACTGGAAACACTGGGATGCAGTGCGTGTTGTAGCACTTAAGCTTCGTGAGCGTGGAGCTGCAGACACGGGACTGTGCTGTGTCCTCACAGTCTGCTCACAACCATTTACTGAGCTTGTGCCGTGTCCTGGGCTCTGGGGGACCCACTGAGGATAGAAAAGGACAACATGGGATCCGTCCTTGAGGAACTCCCGGTGTAATCAGAGCGAGACCCTAGAAAATAGACTGCTGTGATTCCTGGGGGGGGGGTGAGTGTCGTGATCGGTGGGTGGGCACTGTGGGGTACCCAAGAAGGGCACCTAACCCAGCCTGGGGGCCAGCGATCAGGGCAGGAGACCCCTGGGCCAGACCAGGAGAGCCATGGGGGGAGGTGAGGGGACGTAGGTTAGAGCAGCGTCCAGGTAGAAGGAGCAGCACAGCAAAAGGCCAGCCCCATCTCAGGTGGCACCTGTTAGACATCCCCCACCCTGGACCACCCTCTCTCCAGAGTGATGTCTTCCATCAAGGACATGCCTTGACACCGAGATTAGAGACTGTGAATTTGGGAAGGCGCTTGATAAGAGAAACAGTAAATCAACGACTTGAGGCTACCTGTGTGCAAACCACTGGGGACAATCAGAGAACAGGACACAGACCCTGCCCTCTGTCTGGGCAGAGCGCCCATGTTTGGCCCGAGAAGCTCGGGGCCACAGAGGGAGTCAGGGGAGGAACCAGGACGGGGAACAAGGACCTTTGACTTTTACTTGTTTAAATAGCTTTATCAGGATGCACTTTACATACCATATAATTCACCCACTTAAAATGTACAGTTCGTCAGTTTTTTTAGTATATTCACAGTTGTGCAACTGTCACCACTGTCTACTTTTAGATCACTTTCATCATCCTAAAAAGAATTCTGGACCCATCAGCAGTTACTCCCCAACCTCCAGCCCAGCAACCACCAAGCTGCTTTCTCTGCTTATGGACTTTCCTCTTCTGGACAATTCACGTCCATGGAATCCCACAACATGTGGCCTTTGTGACGGGCTTCTTCTGTTTAGCATAGAACCCTTGCTTAGTACCAGGACCTGGAGCCACTAGAGCCCAGAGACAGATCAATTAAACCAGCGTAGACTGTTTTGCAGACACAGCTCATAAATCGGGGGGTATGGACACTGGAGGCCAATGGGAGACGTCCCCGGAGCTCACATGGTGGAGTCCTGTCTCTCTCGGGTCTATGCCAGTCAACTTCCCATCAGTTCAGCTGCGTGAGCTTTGACACCAGAGCCTTTAGGAAACTCCCCTAGAGATTTTTTCATTTAAAAATAACGAGAGAAGTTTACAGATTTTGACCATGGTAGAAAACTAGCAGTTGGAATGAATGAAAACTAGAATAGGATGTTTGAAAGAAATGAAGAGTATTATTTTAAACGTAGCCTCTTCCAGGGACCTGCCTTAACAAGCTCTTGGTTGTTGCTCTGTAATCAAGGTAGTGACTGTAAAGGTAGGAGGTGCAGGGTGCACAGGTGTCCCCATGGAAACAGCAAGCCTTCCTCCCAGCCGCTCTTCCACTTGTGCTTGCTGGAGTGTTAGGCCAGGCTCAGAACTTTTAGATCATGGACCACAGAAACCGACCCAACCACTCAGCTTCCCGGCATCCTTAGTCCCTGGTGGAATTAGAATATCATAGAACGTTAATGGAACTAATGAGATAACATGGAGAGTGGCTGCCACAGAGCCCCCGCGCAGTAGGTCCTCATGCATCTCCGTCCCCTCCAGGTTGTCTTGGCCCATCCTACTCCCTTCCCACCACTCCCTTCCAGCCAAAGCGAATGTACCGTAGTGTCAGGAACACGCTGTGTATGCACGCTCTTTCTCCTGTGCCTTTGGCACCTCCCTTTTGATTTCTCTTAGACCCATGTGTTATTTACAGGTGATTTAGTTTCCAAATATTTTGTGGTTTTTCCAGAGATCTATTTATTTCTAACTTAATCCCATTGTCAGAAAACACACTTTGTATGACATGAATCCTATTAAATGTAAGTAGTAGTTTTGTTTCATTTTTTTTTGACAGCCTAGAATATGACATACGTGGTGAATGTTCCAAGTGCACTTGAAAAGAATGTGTGTTCTGCTGCTGTTGGGTGAAATGATATATATATTTTATATATATATCAGTTAGATCAACTTAGTTGCTAGTGTTGTTCAAGTCTTCTGTTTCCTGATTGAGTTTCTGTCTACTTATTCCCTCCATTATTGAGAGATATTGAAATAGCCAACTATAATTGTAAATTTATTCTCTTCTTCCTTGTAATTCTACTACTTTTTTGCTTCATGTGTTTTGAAACTCTGTCATCGGGAGCATAAATGTGTAGGATTGTTATATCATCTTGATGATTCACATCTTTATCATTATGAAAACTATTCCTGGTATGTTCTTTGATATATAATCTACTTTGATATTAGTGTAGTCAGTCCAGCTTTCTTTTGATTCGTGTTGCATGGCATGTCTCTTTACATCCTTATACTTTTAACCTGTTTGTATCTTTATATTTCAGTTGCATTTCTTGTAGGCGTGATGGGGTTGGGTCTTGCTTTTATCCAACCTGAAATCTCTGCCTTTTAATTGGGATGTTTAGACCATTTACATTTAATGTGAGTGTTGATCAGGCCAGGTTTGAGGATATCATCTCACTGTTTGTTTTTTATTCGTCCCATCCGGTGGTGGTTCCCTTTTTCTCTCAAAGCGGTGGGCCAGGGCAGTTGAAAGGCTCACCTCGTCTCTCAAAAATCACTGTCCTTCATGGCCTGATGCCCATTGTCTTGAAAACTGTTGTTTTATATAAAACTAGGACCCACAGTGGATGGCCAGACAGATGGATTTCACCTAGAGTAAGCTCCAGCTTCCTGAAGCCAGAAAGGGCTGCTTCTCCAGACAGCGGGGTGTTCTGGCACCTGGCCGTGGTCACAGGAGGCTGGGGCACTGACCAGTTCATACAATTCTGGATGGAGTTCGTACCGACAGCCTGCCCCCTACCACGAGTTATCAACAAACCCAGGGCATGTGGAAGGCATCCAGCACTCCTGGGGGCTGATCCCAGCCCCCACCCCAGCTCAGCTTTGACTTCCGACAGGACACTCAGCCTCCCTGGGCCTCAGTTTCCTCCCCCAAAATAAAGGGCCTGCCCAGAGGATCCACGGGGTCCTTTCAGCCTCTGTGATGCTTTCATGTTGCTTTCCTCCCAGGTTCTCATTCCCACCACCCGATGCAATTCCCACAAGGAGAACATCCAGGGCCAGCTCAAGGTGCGCACGCCAGGCATCTACATGCTCGTCTTCGACAACACCTTTTCCAGGTAGGGGCCCCTCATCCCTCAGCATTCAAACCTGCCACCTGCCACCCGGCCTCCGGAAAGAGGCGGATAGTAAAAATAACCGTCCAACTATCAGCAATGTATTACTAATAGTTCGATTTTAGACCCCTGTACTACAGTGGTCCAATGTCCGTTATCGGTTTTATAACACACAAGCTAATGCCTCCAGTCTGACCGCACGTCGGGTGTGTTGTTGGCCGTCTACTCCTAGTAACTCCCTTAAGCCCCACAGTATCCCCAAGTGCTGGGTCCGTCTTTCTCCTCATGTTACTGCTGAGGGACCGAGGACCAGAGGGCTAAAAGAGTAGCACTCCCAAGTTACAGAGCTGGTGGTGGAGCCGGATTTGACCAGAGTGGCTCAGCTCCAGACTCTGGACTCAACGGGCGTGCTCTCCTGCCTCTCTCTGATGTTCCAGGTCCCACTGCCCAGCCCAGAGAAGGCTCAGTAAATACAGTGGGAAGGTGGGTGGGTGGATGGG